TGAAATTGTGACGATTTCATCTAAAACAAGGTGGAAAGTTAAATTCCGTTCTAATAAATTCCTGGTTCCGTTCTGATATCGAACAAATTAAATTTGGAGATCGGATAGTTTGCATAATTTAAACTTTGATGTTAATTGGAAATTAAACTTAGAAAGTTAATCGATACATATTATAAATAAATGAAGATAGTGATAAACAATCGGTCATAAACCGAAAGAAGAATAAATTTACAATTTGATCACTCAACTTTAAGTTGTAATTCAACTTTTTATCTTTATTTTTATTCTATTTTTTCACATTTTGGTATAAGATCAATTCCCTAGAGACTTGATATTCTTTTTGGATGAAAGTTTTTTTTTAATATTTTATACTCTGTAAATCTATAAAAAAAATGAAAAAAATTTGTTTTATTATTGTGTACATATTGATTCAAAAATTAAAAAAAAATATTTTTAGCTTTTGATTACACCAATGCATAAATCTAAAAAAGTAGAAGTAGCACGAATTACAGTAACTTCGGTGATAAAGAAATTGTTGTTACTTCATAGATGTCAGGAGAATGAGCGTTATTAAAAAAATTGAAGCAATTTGGTGAAGGTAGATGATGATACAATCATTCAAGCAAAGAATGTTATTATTTTATCTAAAGATTTATGAAATATAAAAGCATCAAAGAACATTTGTGTAAGAAAAATGACAAATCAATAAGGAATAGACTTGCACCATCCTATAAGAAAAAAGAAAACCCAATAAAGTGATTCACAATTGAAAATTGAGTGACCAAAATATAAAATTCTTATAGTTATAATTGAATGTACAAAATAAAAGTTTATCCCCAAAAGTGAATTTCCTTCACACACTTACTGTGACAGAATGACATTATTATTACCGATCAACAAATAAAATGATCATATTATAACTTGTTCAAAATATAGTAACTATTTATAAACTTACTCATAAAACAATGACATATGTTTAGTTTACCCTAAATTAGTTTACCTACCCACGCAAAAAATAATAGTAATATTCCCGAATTTTGCTCTTCTCGCGTCTTTGTCCTTCCGCTTGTATTAAAACCCTTCTAGAGCTCTCTCTGTTTACACAGTCTCGATCTATCCGCCTCTCCCATCTCCGTAAGCTCTCTCGCTTTGAATACTTGCATTTCACTTTCCATTCTTCCAGATCGGGTCTTAATCGATTCTTTATTTCTTCACTTTTTTTGTAGCGTTGTTTTTACGTTCGATTGTTGTTGAAGAACAGGTGTTAATACCATGGCTACAAAGAAGAGCGTTGGGGATTTGAAGGAAGCTGATTTAAAGGGAAAGAAAGTGTTCGTTAGAGTTGATCTGAACGTTCCTTTGGATGATAACTTCAACATAACTGATGACACCAGAATCCGTGCTGCTGTTCCCACCATCAAGTATTTGATTGGTCATGGCTCTAAAGTCATCCTTTCCAGTCATTTGGTACCATTTATTCCTTTTTTTCTTTTGATTTTATCTCTTCGATATTTTTAATAATTTTTTTATGGTTTAATTGTTTTACTATCTTTTTTTTTCTATTTGCATGTTTTGATTTGGCGTTTATTGAGCTCCGATTACTATTTTTGATGAGTATTTGCGATTTTTATTTTGTTTATTTAAAATTTTGTGCTGGGAATAAGCTAGATCTGTTTGAATCGGACGGAGGCATCACTTCTCTTTTTTTTTGTTTATATATTCTCTTGCTCAATCTGATTTTGTTTTTTTTATTTAATTCTGAAAACGCTGCAGCATTTATTGATTATTGATAGATCTAAATATCATGTTCTCTTGGCTTATATTTTTCATAGATTCGATTTTTTTTACTCATAATCCGGTTCACCTTTGTTTGATTTACTGTCTTTGAGTTTGGCTTGTTGAATGTTAAGGTAGAATGTTAAGATCTGAACAAAGATCTCGGGCAGAAATCTCTTACCCCTGTGTGTTGGATTATGCTGTTCAATTTTGAAAAATGATTATTAATGTGGTTCCTTTTAGTATTTTAATGCAATTAGCAGTTGGATGGATGCAAAGTGGATGGAATGTTTGTTTTCTACTCTGAGTCTCTGACCTTTTTGCATGTTGAAGATTTCATAATACGTTTCAATTTGCCTGTCCTTTTCAGGGACGCCCGAAAGGTGTCACTCCTAAGTACAGTTTGAAGCCTCTCGTGCCAAGGTTATCTGAACTTCTTGGAGTTGAGGTTTGTATTTAAAAAACAAACTCTTTAGCCACCTCAGAATTTCATTTGCTTGATTTGTTGCTCTATTAAACATTTGTATCCGTCTTGTGAAAGGTTAAAATGGCAAATGACTGTATTGGTGAAGAAGTTGAGAAATTGGTGGCTGGACTACCAGATGGAGGTGTATTGCTTCTTGAGAATGTGAGGTTCTACAAGGAGGAAGAGAAGAACGATCCCGAATTCGCAAAGAAGCTAGCTTCTCTTGCAGATCTCTACGTTAATGATGCATTTGGCACTGCTCACAGAGCTCATGCTTCTACAGAGGGAGTGGCTAAGTTCTTAAAGCATTCAGTTGCTGGTTTTCTTATGCAGAAGGTATTATGAATATCATAATTTTGAAAACGAAATGTTGTATGATCCAGCAGATTGGTTTAAGAATCGTATTTGTGACTATGTTTAATTTTTATTATTGGTTGCGTGTCAAGTAAATTTTAGCATGTTACTTTTGGGATCTGATGGAGAGACCATTTAACTCGTCCATAAAGTATCAAAATAGCATGGTTTTAAAGCATTTAGATAAGAACATGCAATGGTTGTGTTTTGAGTTCTCTGTTGACCATCTTTGACATGCTATGTTATACTCTCCTATTTTAGGAGCTCGATTATCTTGTTGGAGCTGTGGCAAATCCCAAGAAGCCATTTGCTGCAATAGTTGGTGGTTCTAAGGTATCAACCAAGATTGGAGTGATCGAATCCCTCTTGGCCAAGGTAGATATTCTTATACTGGGTGGAGGAATGATCTTTACCTTCTACAAGGCCCAAGGATACAAAGTTGGATCATCTCTTGTAGAGGAAGACAAACTTGATCTAGCAACATCTCTCATGGAGAAAGCCAAGTCAAAAGGGGTCTCCCTCTTGCTGCCCACTGATGTGGTTATTGCAGACAAGTTTGCCGCTGATGCTAACAGAAAGGTTTGTGCTGCTTATCATTTGAAGTATGTTTGTGCTAAGAGTCATTTGAGCGGACTGTATTGCAATTCACCTAATTTTACTGCCATTGGCCGCATGGAATCAGAGTGTACCTAGAACCAATTCGTTTAGAATATGCTGGCGATGCTCCCCATATTGGTTTTTTTTTTTTGTTTTTTGCAGGTGATTCCAGCTGCAGAGATCCCAGATGGTTGGATGGGCTTGGATATTGGACCTAACTCCATCGAAGCCTTTAATGAGTCTTTGGACACTACCCAGACCATTATTTGGAATGGACCAATGGGTGTGTTTGAGTTTGATAAGTTCGCTGCAGGCACTGAGGTAAAGTGATTTACTTTCATGAATTAGGTGGTCGTGGTGTGGATTTAGGTCTTTTCATTTGGTTATCCTCACAAACGGTTTTTTTTAATACCATTTATAATTCAGGCGATTGCCAAGAAGCTTGCCGAGCTCAGTGGCAAGGGAGTGACAACAATCATAGGAGGAGGCGATTCTGTTGCAGCTGTAGAGAAGGTTGGGCTTGCTGATAAGATGAGCCACATCTCGACTGGTGGTGGTGCCAGCTTAGAGCTTCTCGAGGGCAAACAACTTCCTGGGGTCCTTGCTCTTAATGATGCTTGAACTTTAATTTTGCACATCGTTGTTTTTCTTTCTTTTTTGTGTGTGCAATTGTACGCTGCTCTAATGTGGCTGGTATCTTAGCCAAGAGTGAATTTCAGTAGAGCTGATTTTGTAGAGGCTGATAAGGTGAACTTAGTATAAATAAAAGGTTTCTCCTCTCCATCCATGAGAGGATACATTTGGATTTGCTTTTCTGAGGTTGGGGATGTTGAATTAGTTTAATTGCTCTCTCCGTACATTAAACTGAGATACCTAGGTGTTGAAATGCATTTCTGAATTAAAAAATGGATGGCGAAATGTTATTTTGCACATTTTCCCTTAAAATTAAAGCACATTCAATATCTAAATTATTCTAAAATTAGTTTTTCACTATTCAAAATCTTTTTTAGCCATATATTTTATTTTATATATATAACTGTTCCAATCTAAAGTTTTCTAGAGGGAACAGTACTCCTTAACCTTTAGGCACATAAATATCATTAAAATCAATATCAAATATGATAATATACTGATAATGCTCTTGAAAGTCTTTTATACTAGTATTACATTCCTCATCGAAGGCCTTGCCTCTGGCAAGTATTGGACGTACTAGGGCTGTAAATGAGACGAGACAGATTGCGAGTTATTCGAGATCGACTCGATCTTGGCTCGATAAATACTCGGATCGAATGGACTCGACTCGAGCTCGACTTGAAAAGCTCGTGAGCAGCTTGAAAAAAATGTTATATTATAATTTTAGATTTTTTAAAATTATATTATTAAAAATATATTAAAAATACATTATTGATGAATAAAATTCCAAATGATCGAATACTCTTTGAATCATACTCAACGGTATAACCTTTGGAAATCAAGCCTGTAGTGTCGAGTTAATAATTAAGATATTAAGTAGAATAACATTGATATTTGATCACAACACCATACAATTATGGTGAATGGAATTTAGAATGGATAAATTTGTACTAAAAACCTTGAGTCTGCCGAAACTGAAATTTCCCTGATATCACTGGCTAAATATTTTACAGGAGGGGTGACAACTATGCAACCATTTCTTAAGAAATTTTTCCCATCAGTATTACGAAAAGCAACAGAGGCTAATAACAACATCTATTACGTGAATGATACCCAAGTTTTCCCTTGTCAAAAATTTCCCATACTTGTTTCGGAAGCCAATCTTGCCTCTCAGCTAAAATGTTCCTCCTTCCAACCATCTCAAACAGCATCGCCCCAAAACTATACACATCCAAATCTCTGGGGGAGCGTAACATGGAGTCCCTCCAGCTCTCGACATGGTTATATTTGTGGTGTATATTTGCAACTTTGGGCAAAAGTTGGAATCAAGCAAAACATTTTCTGGTTTAATATCATAATGGATTATTTTCTTGAGGCTGAAATGATGCAAATACTCGAGCCCTCTTGCAGCCCCAACTGGTAACTTGTCCCACCCAATTTCATGTTTCTTCTCGAACAACAGTTTGTCAAGCGATCCGTATTCCATGTATTCATATACTAAAGCTTTTGTTTCTGCTTCGACGCAGAAGCCATAGAGCCTTACTAGGTTCCGATGATATGTTCTTCCTATGGTGTTGACTTTCGCCATGAACTGGTCCTCAATCCTCTTATCTATGCTGTGGCTGTTGAGTAGTTTAACAGCTATCGGCCTTCCATCTGGAAAATGTCCTTTGAAAACTGAGCCATACCCTCCATGACCTAGTTTGGTAGAGTAATTTGATGTGAAAATTTGAAGCAACTGGTTTTTTCACCTAGAGCGAGCTCTATGAGTCTTCCTATCGTTTGTTTCTCTAATACTGCTTCCACATCCACATCCACCGCTGCTGGTGGCGCTGGTTGTATCTGGTAATAAGCAGAGAGCTCCGTTAACATCTTTGCCTACTCCCTTGCTCTCTCTGTTCGTTTACTTTTTGCTATCTCTAATGCATTAACCTGATCATTTTCAGTCTTCTTTAACTTTCATATGATACAAACAATTATTAGAAACCCTGCTATCCCTGAAATTTTGTCAAGAAGAATACGTCATGGATTGTAACATTCATTCATAAGCATCGACACAATGCTTATAAGGTTGTGATGTTAAGATCAAAATTCCTCACCTCCAAAGGTTCCAAATAGTATTCCAACACCCTTGTTGAACTGATCTTCAGGATTATCAAAAGATGGCATTCTGATTCTGGTTTTATACATTTATTGTTCAAGATCAGGTTGACACATGTTTGTAGCCGAAGGATTAATTACTCGATTTATAATAAGTCTTTGAGTCAAATTATCGCCGCATTTTTCCTTTTTTATAATTGAATTGTAATTTCCTACAGAAAAAAAAAAACAATATACTTGAATAGATTTAGACGGTACGTTGTCATGTTTAGATTGACAATCAAATAGAATAATTTCAACAAATGAGACAAGTAAAGTAGAAAAATTCAAGAATTTTGATATACTGATTACTGTATTTTGTATGATTTTGAAAGAATTTTAAGGTCTAATCTTAAAATCTATACTTTTATAATTTATCTTCAATCATGATTTTGTTGAATTTAAAAGTCATTTTTTATCTCTCTTCCGAAGACTTTTAAGCGGAATATGATAGCAACAATTATTATAACACCTAATATCCTGAAATTCTTTTGAGAATAATTATGAAGTGGATTCAACGGTTGAAGGAAGTGTTGTTTTCCTTTAAGATTCGAGTGCTTTGTTAATAATTAAGAAAGATTATAAACAAATATTACCTTATAATTACCTCAAACTATTAAAATATAAATAGAATGCTTATTAAATTAAATAAAAAAAATGAACATTAAAGTTATTGATGTTAGGACAAAATTTTTCCTCACCTCCAATCGTTCAAGTACAATTCCTAACAAAAAGTGAATGAAGTAAATTGGGAATCGAACACAAAGTGCCTTCCATAATTGCTATTATTAGATTTTTTTTTAATATAATTATTACAAGATTTTATATGGTCATTCATTAAGCATAGGAAAGAACCCTAGCTCAGCGGAATTCCCTTTGTCAACTGAACACAGAGAAGGAAACACTCCCAAATTTTTCTTTTAGTAAAACAGAATTCCTCTTGTCGGCACAAAACAAAAGACGATCGCGATGGGACTCGAACCCACAATCTCCCGCTCCGGAGGCGAGCGCCTTATCCATTAGGCCACGCGATCAACTGATGACTGATTTCACGTAAAGTATTAATTATCCGTAATATTAATTTATGCATTTATAAATCCTTCTGATCTGATTAGTTGGCACTTTATATCAAAAAAGAATTAATTAAATCTGCGAAATGGAGAATTGCATTTGTTGAAATAGATATCATCAAAGGCTTTAGTATTCAGTAATCATTTTTTAATATAAATTTAGGATAAATATAAGGTAGTATATATGTTATAAAACTCTCAATTATTTGACAATGAACGTTCATACTTCTACATACGTAATGTCCGAACCTAGAAAGGATGACAACAATTCTTTAATCACGAAGGTCGTTTGATTCATGTTAATAATTATTTATCATAATTGTTAAAAAAATTAGAGGATAATAATATCTAACGCATATTATCAGTTATAACCAACTATAAAAATAGAAAGGCGACATTACTTTGAATCAAAATAATAAATTTTAAACTTTAACATGAAAAAAATTAAAAATCATAATTAAACTAAATTTCATGTAATTATAATATGCAGAGAGGGCTTCATGAGTTTGAAAGAACCATTTTAAGAAAGCCCAAACATAGTTGAATGATAAGTCCATTGGCATTTGGCAAAGGAATAAAGAGCCTACGCCTTGTATTGTATTATTCACTTTGGTCTTTAAAATATCCTTTTTATCTCGTATATTTTCAATAGGATAAAAAATAACTCCAAGCCCCTATATTTTAAAGAACTTAAATGCATACGGACTAAATTTTAAATCTACAAAAAGCAGAGGACTTGAAGCATATTTTAACTATTTATATTATTTACTTACTTTCCCCAAATAGTGGATGGTGGATGTGCTTGCTCATTGTATGTAATACAGGGTTTTCTTTTAGCAGAGTTTGTAATACAGGGTTTGACTTTGCAGGATCCAATTCTAAACAGTTACCAAATCTTCTTTATATATATATATATATATATATATATCATATTTAAAACTGAAATAGAAAATAACACAGCCTGAGCCAGTTGGAAACCTAGATTTTCAACAATTAACTCTCCATTCACTTCCAATATTGAAGGTAATATTTTTTTTCTTCGTCTTATTATTTGCTGCCATATTTTTTTTTGTAATTTAACTTCTTCTGCTGAAACATGGCGCCAGGTTTTAAAGTTATGAACATTGTTTTCTCATCTTGTTCAGATTTGGGTTCTTTACTTTGAAAATTCTTTTGGGTTCGTGTTAATTTCTTTCTCTTATGCAGGATAAGGGGAAAAGTCGTTGCTTTATTTCATCTGGGTATTTAGTGATTGTCTTTAAAGGGATTTTTAGTGATATTTGAAAAAGATGAGTGGTGCTCCAAAGAGATCTCATGAAGAAGGTGGTGGTCAGCCTTCTTCTGCTTCTAAATACCCTCATGAGGAAACTGCTGCTTATCCTAAAATGCCTTCGTCTTCTGTTCCCCCCGAGTCCCATCATCCTAGCCCTTATGACATGGGGCAAGATGCTAGAATGCCTAGAATTCCTAGAACCGAGCTTCGCGATTCCGGTAGAAGGTCACCTCTACAGCATGCCATGTATAGAATGCCTTCGTCTGTTGCTTTGAATGATTCACACATGGATTCTCACCAGGGTTGTTACGATAGTAGGATGGAGGTGCGGGATGCCAAGGAAAACCGAGAGGTTAGGGTCGAGAGTCGAGAACAAAGGGTGGAACCGAGGGAGTTTTTTGCTGATTCTGTAAAGAGGGAGTATCCATCTGGGAAAGGTGAAAGGGATGTTAGGTTTGAGAGTAGGGGGGACGGGAGTAAAGAATTGAAACATGATAGAGAAAATTATAGTGGTCTGAAGGGTGATTTGAAGGTGGAAAAGGATCTTTATGGTGGGGCAAGCATTAATGCAAATTGGAAGGATTCAAGGGATTACACTAGAGGAAGAAAATATTCAGAACCACCAGGTGGAAACATAGATCAATGGCACATCCAACGTGCTAATTCACAAGGAAATATTGAAATTGTAAAGGAAGGTTCTGCTACTGAAGAAAGAGAAAATGCAGAAGGTCATGAGGCTGTTGGTGAGAACAAGTTTGATTCAAAAGGTGACGATAGATTTAAGGACAAGGATAGAAAAAGAAAAGATGGAAAACACCGGGATTGGGGAGATAGAGATAAAGAAAGAAGTGATCGTAGGAACATCATGCATTTAGGTAATAGCAGCGGTGAGGTCAAAGAATCTGCAAGGGAGGATAGAGAAGCAGAGAGATGGGAAAGAGAAAGGAAGGATTTGAAGGAAAAAGAAAGGTCAAAAGAGAGAGAAAAGGACCACATTAAGAGAGAACCACTGAATGGAGCAGCAGATAAAGAAGGATCAAGCAATGACAAGGATTTGGGAGATGGATCTGTCAGAACACAAGAGCAAGAAAATCAGGTATCTGAGCAGAAAAAACAAAAAGAATTGGAGAGCTGGAAAATTGTTGATAGAGAATCTAGAGATAGGAGAAGAGAAAGGGATGGTGAAACAGAAGGAGACAGACCTGAGAAGCGCAGCAGGTGCTCTGACAAAGAGTCCGATGATGGGTGTGCAGATGGTGAAGGGGCTACTGAAAGGGAAAAAGAAGGTTTTGGTTCTGGAGTCCAGCAGCGTAAAAGGATGCTTCGTCCAAGAGGAAGCCCTCAGGTGGCAAACCGCGATCCTTGTTTAAGGTCTCGACCTCAAGACAATGAAGGGTGTGTCTTCCTATTTTTCTTAGTGTCTATTTTAATTTCTTGCATATTTACCTTAACGTTGCATTGTTCCATGTATTATATGGAATCATACTCTTTAAAATCTCCATGCATTCTAGTCTTTAAACTCCTAGTGAAGTTACTTGATTGTTCATTTTTACTTGTTATCTAATTCCAGCGGCTTTCTTATATATATAATTTAAGTGAACTGATAGGAAAGATATTAGCTTTAAGAAAAATATTTCACAAAGAATTACAATTTTCTTCTTACTGGGCAATTCCGGTTTAAGAATTTTTTAGCGATATGGTTCAAGAGGTCGCTTGTACCGTTTTTAAGATATTGAACCTCTGGTACACTTCTGAAATGGTACTTTGATGATAGTTGCTCTTATCTATGTGCTCTTGAGGACCAGGTCACTGAGTTCTTTGAATAACTTATTTCTCATCGCTAATGTAACAAATTAATTTAGATTTGAGATGGGACATTCTAGAGTTTAAATGGAAGGTAAAGTTATGCTTTCTGAAGTTATTTATGGATTAAAGGATTTATATGGTAAGAATTTACTGAAGCTTGAAGTGGTTGGATTCTATACTTAATGGATGGAAAGATGGCTGCGGGATGGGAAACGAAATATACAGCAGTCTAGCCCTAGTAATTTTCTTCATGAAATAAATCTCCTCTCTTTCTTCTTTGCATCTCTCTAATCTGTTGTATTGATATTCATTCACTCTCTCTTGCTATAGTCCTTGTTCCAACCGTCCAATTGGCATTGGATTTACCATTGCTTGCAAATTAATTGGGTTTTTCTATTTGCACCGGTTATTTTCAATGATGTTTCGGAAGTCTTTACAAGTATTTGTGATACTGCTGATCTCATTGTTAAAAGTAACGTTGCTGATATTAATTTTTAGGCATCTTTTTTTTTTCAGTTTCTGTGCCATGTAATTAATGCTTAACTATATATAGGGATTTCTATTCTGAGAGCATTTCCAATCCTTCGGTCTTTACACAAAATAAAATTCATATAAATTAACTGTTATACAAGTTCTTTTTAAACGATTTTAAAAATTTTGTTGGTTGAAGCTTTGTTCGCTACATCTTCATTATCACAAACTATGACTCTGGTATGTTGTTATTTTTTCTTTCTAACGATAGTTTTTATCTTTTTTTTTCTCTGCAGATCTCAAGGTAAGATGTGATCTAGTGCCTTCTGGATTTCAAAGTTTTAGATGCAATTTTATATTCATATTTGATTGGATGGGACACTATGATCTGGTGAAGTGAAGACTGATCTGAAAGAAATAATCTGGTTGCAGAGCTTCTCTTGGCCTGTGCTTAATATTTGGACATTTACGTTTTGTATGTTTGAAGTGTCATTTATAGTGGTAGTTTAGGCTTGTTCTTGCACATTGATTTGGTAGATGAAGACTGGAACTATGTTTTATTGTAGATTTTCTCTATGTTTGATTTGAAGACTGCATTAGTTAGGATGTATATCAGGCTATTCTACATTAATTCAGTCAATCCTCAACTTATAGGGACAAAGCTAGGAAATAATTAAATTGGTGACATCAATATAGATGATTATTTCTAGTCATCAAGTTTTAAATACTAAACTTTATTGTTATTTTTAGGAGTCAAGGATGCTTAGAAAGAAATTAGAGACGATGAAATCTCCAATGTATTAGAGCCTCATGAGTGATGAGAACAGTATTACACTGGTTATAAGTATTGTCTTGTTTATACCATGGGTATCTAAGTAGGTCTTGTTAGTGATGAATAGTTTCTGTTGATTGTTTATTCTTCCTTTTCACACCTATTATGTGTGACTTGATCAATGCATCTTTGGAGTGGGTTGTTTGTGATTATTGACTGAACTGAAAGGTTTTAGACATTTCACTGGGTTTATATTCTTTATTTGTAATCTACTTATGTTTTTGTGATTCAGGTAAACCTGAAGTGTCTTCTGTCGTTTATAAAGTTGGTGAATGCATGCAAGAGATACTTAAGTTGTGGAAAGAATATAAAGCCTCTCAAGCTGATAAAAATGGTGAAAGCCCTCTAAATGGACCTACCCTTGAAATTCGAATACCTTCTGAGCATGTTACTGCTACAAATCGTCAGGTAGGACGCTAAAGATGTCTTCTATTTCTTTTGAGGCTTTTGTTCTCTTTCTTGTGCAATTTGCAAAATATGAAAGGTTGTCTTAATCGTGATTTTTTGCATTGTTTTGATTGCATTCTTGTACATTTTATTTGCTTTATTAAAAAAAACTATATTGGAGGCCTCTTTATAATTAGGGGATCTTGACGATTTTATGTCTTGAAATTGGATAAAGTTGACCAAGTCATTATCCTTCTCTCTTTCTCTCCCTCTTTCTAAGTTCTATAAGTGCATTATGTGCAGGTCAGAGGTGGCCAGCTTTGGGGGACTGATATATACACAGATGACTCTGATCTTGTTGCTGGTATGTTGTAATGGAAACATGAATTCTGTAGGGTTAGCCCTTCCTTGGCCTTGTAAATCATAGAACTGTTAACTGTATCACACAATTTTGCGTTGATGTATTGTTGGGATGTTTTGTTATAGTTCTTATGCATACTGGTTACTGCCGTCCAACTGCTTCTCCACCTCCACCAGCTATCCAAGAGCTACGTGCTACTATACGTGTGCTACCCCCACAAGATTGTAAGTTTAATTTCGGCTGTATCTTATTTGTCTACTAATTCCAGTAACATATGCTTATATCTAAATTCAATTAAGCAGTATATGAGCTCTACTTTGTGCATCTACTTAGGTAGGGCTTTAATGTGTAAACATTTTAAGATAAGTAAGCATTTAAAACTGATAAAAAATAATAATAAAGTTTATTATGGAATATTTGGTTTTTCTAGTTGCTCAACCCAGAATGATGAGGTATACCAAAGTCGACTTGAGCTGAATTGGTGTCATGGTTTGATTTTTTTTTTTGGTTACATCAGTGTCTTTGTTTGCTTAGCTCTACTGGCAAAGGCACGATCTTGATATTATCACTATTACTCTATTTATTTCTATCATCCACCGGAAATCTGTTTCTATGCATCACTCTGACATTATAGCATCAATAATTTGTTAGGCTACAATTCTAAACTAAGGAACAATGTTCGTTCCCGTGCTTGGGGAGCTGGAATCAGTTGTAGTTACTGTGTTGAGCGATGCTGCATTGTTAAGGTTACAAACTTTTGATCTTTTTACCCCTTTATTCCACAAGTTTTAATAAGTTCGTGAAAAGCTTATATCTAAATTCAATAAATGATTATAATGTCTTTCCTTTTCTTACATACTGTGTCTTCTTGCCATTTTTTTAATTCAGAAAGGAGGCGGAACCATTGATTTGGAGCCATGCCTCACGCATTCATCAACAGTGGAGCCCACCCTTGCTCCAGTTGCTGTAGAACGGACAATTACTACTAGGGCAGCAGCTTCAGTATTTCCTGCCTCCTTTTTCATCTAATTTCTTGAAGTGAAACTTTTAGTTTTGTCTTGTTTTTTCTAAAGGAGTTGTTGTAGCTTGTATTGCTTTGTGTGACATGTCAATGCTTTTGCTTTGCTAGACCTTTTGTATCTCATATCTTTTGGCATCAGTAACTTGCAACCATGGTCACAATTGGGAAATAAGTTTACAACTACTTGGAAACATGACCATTTAGTATATCATACAATTTGAACTACATGCATGTGTATTGTGTATGTGTGCATGCGTGCATGCCTTTTCTAGTCGGGAGTAAATTATTGTGTGAAATGCATGGTGTTGTGAAAATCAGCATGCTACAAGCATGAGGCAATGACAGAAGCATTTGCTGCATAAGTTGGATATGCTGCCTTTTCTTCTTAAGTTTCTGGTATCGGTTTACATTATATCTGCTTATTTTTCTGGCAGCTCATTAAGAGTAATCATTAATCAAATAGTCGAGGAATGCGGAACTTCATACTTCATGTTATTGAAATCTTTTCTGTTATTACCATTATTACGATTAATGTGTTGTATTTCTGTTTATATAATAGAACTAAGCTAATGTGATTCTTTTCAATTCTCAGAATGCTTTACGACAGCAAAGATATGTGCGAGAAGTTACAATACAGTACAATCTCTGCAATGAGCCTTGGTACCTTCAATATCTATTTTTGATTTCTTGTCTTGATATTTTTGATTCGGCATCTTATTTTTGGTATATATCTTTGGTGCAGAATCTGAAGTTTTATTGTGTTTTGAGTATGAAATTATCATGATTGTCTTTTGTTTAATTTCTTATCATGCCGAACCCGAATTTTCATTCTGTTACAATGGTTGCCATTTCCACAGGATTAAGTATAGTATAAGTATAGTTGCGGACAAAGGTCTGAAGAAACCCCTTTATACGTCCGCCCGTTTGAAGAAAGGTGAAGTTCTGTACTTGGAGACACATTCCAGCAGGTATTGTTATTTATATATTGCTCTCATTGTTTCTTTAACAAGCTCCATGGCTGTATTACTTATTTTGGCCTTCCTTCCTCTTTCCTTTTTAGTTTATTAATTACATTTTCTAATTACTATTAGCTTAATTTCTTGATCCAATATGATTTAACTTGTATATAACATTAACAAGAAACATGACAATAATCTGACAGTTGAATTGATGTGCAAACTATTGGCATTTTCGTTTCTTTTTTTATTCGTAAATAATTTAAATTACTTTATGAAGGTATGAGCTATGTTTTACCGGTGAGAAAATGGTGAAAGCCGGAACGGGTTCTCAAGCACATGAAACAGATGCAGAGAAGGCTCAAACTCAGCACTTGCATTCCTCAAATGGTGAAAAGAACGAATCCGATAACATCCTCGTAGATGTTTTCAGATGGTCTCGCTGTAAGAAGCCCCTTCCCCAGAAAGCGATGCGTTCGATCGGAATTCCCCTGCCACTCGAGCATGTGGAGGTATTACATTTCATAATTTACTATCTTGATTTTGCATACTGCTTTTACTTGTTGAGGTGTTACTATATAAAGCCAATAGGAATGAAATGCTGATGATGACGAAACAGGTATTGGTGGAGAATATTGAGTGGGAAGATGTGCAGTGGTCGCAAACAGGTGTTTGGGTAGCTGGAAAAGAGTACCCACTTGCCCGTGTTCATTTTCTATCTTCAAATTAGATGTCAAATTGGGTATGTTCCCATGCACAATTTGTCATGTTTATTACTGTATGAATGATGAAACCCAGTGATTTGAAATAATATGTTTGACCTTCAAAATGTAAGAAAAAATATTTGGATTTTCGATTACCAGTCTTTAATTTTTTTAAGAATAAGTATCAAATCAATACAATATATAAAGTTTGAGGATTAAATTTTATTGATACAATATAAAAAGATTTAAAGATTAAAATTGTTATTATATCAAATTTTAAAAACTAACCTATCATCTTCCTTGCTCTAATATTTTATAAGCTTAAAGGTTACTTTTGTTCATGTAGTAGATCTAATGTCATTATTGTATCAATTTAGCTTTCAAAGTTGTTTAATTATATCATTATATACTTTATCCCTAACTTTAAATCTTAAATTTAAAATCCTCAATTTAGGGTTTTAAGTTAGAGGTAGGGTATAGAATGACACAATTAAATAATTTCAATGACCAAATTGATGCAAAACATGATAGAGACTAAAAATGATAAATTGAGTCTACAATAGGGATAAAAGTTACTCTTTTACCTAGTATATGTATATATATATAAGGTTATTGATGAGTTTCACTAAACAAAGTATAAATATAATAAAATTATAGCTCCAGAGACTTGAATTTAACAAGAAATGAAATATTTTATACATATTTTTCTTGCATAATCATGGTTTAGTAATGTTGAAATCACAATCTTTACAACAATTTTAAAAATTATTTCTTATTGAAGCTTTTCCATATATTTTTTTCTGCACATAATGTACTTAAAAATCGAGATGGATTGATGAAGACAGTAGGCAACAAAAAAGTGTATTTTGGTGAAAGCTCCTTCAAGATGATGATGATGGAAAGTTAAGTTAGATGTAGCTTTAAGAGTCATTCTGGACAAGAAATTAATTCTAAGTGTTAATATTAAAAAACTAATATAGTATAGAGACTAAATAAAGCATTAAACTTTTTGTAAAAAGCCTCTCAATATTTGCCACCTTAATTAGAAAATAAATAAAATTTACAAATAATGAATAAAACAAATTAAGTTAGAAGAATCATTTTTATAGTGAGTTTTTATTGTATTCAAATGATACGAATATAAAAAATTTAGTTTAATTTTTCTCTTTTATTTACTGTCTGATCACTATCTAATCATCAGGTCACTATTTTTATATGGTGTATTTCAGGTAAGGGATTTGAATAGTTGATTCGGATGATAATGAAATGGAAGTGATGATAGTGACGATGAATATTTATCGGGTTAACTCAGTTGAAGAGCATCGTTCATTTTCTTCTCCCTAAATTGGTAGCCTCATTTTCTTTTCTTTTACTTCAACTTAGTATAACCAAGGAGCGGTGGCATGCAAGTACATGTAAAGCAGGGCATGGTGTGTGCTGATGATTATTGAGGGGTATATATGGGGCTATGATTGAGCATGGATATTGAATGAGTGGGAGAGGCTTGCCAGTCGTGACGGTAACTTTGACAACCACATCTGCTCCAACTGAATCTTCAATTATTCCTCTGTTTAATTTTTCCCATAAATCCCTTATCAAACCATTTACATGATCACGTGCTCCTTCTGATGCCCCCTTTTCAATCATGTAAAAATGTATCAAGTTCATCCACTCTCCCCTTTCCATTTCCTCCTGCAGATAAAATCTAAATTATATTTGATATGTATAACCAACATGATTATATGATATCTAGTATTTTTTTAATATAAAATGTTTTCTTCAACTGATAGCGTATGTCGGTATGTGTGAGAAAACCTAATATATATTAAAAAAATACGATTAGAACAGATATTAGTACAAACTTTTGAAGTGTTTAAATCATCAAAGAGGCGGGCAAAGTAGGCAGGCATACGAACCAAGTGAGAGTGAAACCAATTCTCCACAAATTCAGACAAATATTGATGTATAGAGAGTCCTGCAACTCCAAGAATGCCATATACCATGGCTATTGCCATCCCACTGCTTACCCAAGCGTTCTCTAGATTTTCTTCTGCACTTGGATTGTATCCAGTGTGCAACCATCGTGCTTCTTTCATGTATGATCCAATGTAAACTATTAATCAATATATATATATATATATATATATATATATATATATATATATATATATATATATATATATATATATATATATATATATATATATATATATATATATATATGTACTGCTTCTATTCAACGGGTCCATACTACTTCCTTAAGGTAGGGTAGAACATCGATGCCATTATCTATCAAAGCATCTTGAGCCATTTCACTAACATGGTTGTAGATGGCTTCATAGAGAAGTTTCATGTACTTCGGAAGTTCTTCTATTGCCTTAAGATCCCATCTGCAAGTTGAGATATATCTTGGCATAACTCATCATTAAACAAACATATACATTTTGGGACTAAATGACCATGGGTTGGATGCAAATTATTAGTTAACTAACGGTTAATGCTTTTTGCTGACATAATAAAACTTTAGTATCTAAAGTGATGATGTGACACATGCCATATATACTTGAGTGATAATGTGACATGTGTCACGTTATCACTTCCGACACATAGGTGTCACCACATTAGCGAAAAGTGTCATTAGTTAACTAACGATCTCCATCTAAGTAAGGATTATTTTATCCTAAAAATAAATTGTCGGGGTTAAATTACTTTAAAGAAAATGAAAAAGAATTAAAGTGACTATTTAAGCAAATGTTGGAAATATTTTGTTGTTATCATGGCCTATTATAGATATCTATATCTATATCTATTGCCATTTTTCTGTAACTGTATATTTCTCAAGCTCATCCAGTGATCCATATGTGTCCTATATATCATCTAAAGGTGTAACTAAGGATCCAAATTTAGCTATATCCCTCATGCACTTGGAAAACTGAGGACCCGAAGGGATACTTCCCATTGTCCAAATGTAAACCTCAAGCAGCCTATCTACCGTTGCCCGTGGTTTTTACCCTATATTATTTAGGGATTTTTCATGTAAATTTTGTGTCTCTTTTATCCTCATTTTTATTTTCTCAAATTATCAGTTGCGATTTTGCTCTTTCCGATAGCCGTCTTCCGCAACAATTGGTATCAGAGCTAGATTAGAGTGTGTAATATCTGCTTATTGTCTTTGTGGTTGCCACCAAAAGGTGGATCCTCCAACATAAGAAAGTAAAAAGTTATTACCCATTCTTTGAAGATTTCAGAGAATTATTCACGATAGTGAAATAGTAGGAGCTATCCGTAAAAGAAGCTATGACAACGAAATTTGATATTGAAAAATTCAATGGGAGAAATTTCTCATTATGGAAATTGAAGATGAATGCCATCCTGAGGAAAGACGGTTGTCTAGCAGCTATCAGTGAAAGGCCGGTAGATTTCACAGATGACAACAAATGGATCAAAATGGACGGAAATGCTATGACAAGCTTTCATCGAGCATTAGCAGATGAAGTATTGTCAAGCATCGAAGAGAAGAAGACAACTAAGGAGATATGAGATCATCTCACCAAACTGTACGAGGCCACATTGTTACACAATAAAATTTTCCTTAAGAGAAGATTATACACTCTCCGTATGTCAGAATCTACTTCAGTGACGGAGCACTTAAACACACTGAACACGTTATTTTCTCAGCTTACATCCTTAAGATGTACACTAGGAGAACAAGAACGTGTTGAACTTCTACTTCAAAGTCTACCTGATTCGTATGGTCAACTCATCATCAACTTGACAAACAGTAATGTCACTAGTCTAGTCTTCGATGATGTTGCAGCTGCTGTTCTACAAGAAGAAAATCGACGCAAGAACAAGGAAGACAGACAAGTAAATCTGCAATAAGCAGAAGCGTTGACAACGATGAGAGGGAGATCAACAGAACGTGGCCAAAGCAGCAGTCACAAACATAGTAGATCGAAGTCGAGGAGAAAGAAGAATTTAAAGTGCTATAATTGTGGAAAGAATGGTCACTTGAAGAAGGATTCTTGGAGTCTAAATAAAAACTCCAATCCACAAGGCAATACCATAAAGACTTCAGATGATAGAGATGCTCTATGTTGTGAAGCATCAACCACCGTGGAAGGTAGAAAGAGATATACATATATATGGCTCATTGATTCGAGAGCAACATATTACATGACCTCAAGAAGAGAATGGTTTCATCATTATGAACTTGTCTCAGGAGGATCTGTGTATAGTTGCAATGATCATGCCTTAGAGATCGTTGGCGTGGGAACCATCAAATTGAAGATGTATGATGGAACAATCAAAATTGTTCGAGCTGTGCGGAAAGTGAAAGGCCTGAAGAAAAATTTATTATCCTATGAATTGTTGGATAATAATGCAAGCAAGATTGAAACACAAAAAGGAATCATGAAGGTGTTCCATGAAGCGCTTGTGGTGCTGAAAGGTGAAAATATAACACCAAATTTGTATATGCTGAAGGGAGAGACTTTGCTAGAAGTAGAAGCCTCTGGTGCCTCATGTAGTTCAGATTCTGTAATGCTATGGCATCAGAAACTTGGACACATGTCAGAACAAAGAATGAAAGTCCTTGTGGAGCAAAAGCTACTTCCAGGCTTAACAAAGGTAACACTTCCTTTGTGTGAGCATTGCATAACAAGTAAGAAGCACCAATTGAAATTCAACAAATCAAATTCTAGAGGCAAAAGTGTTCTAGAATTGGTTAACTCTGACGTATGGCAAGAACCAGTTACATCCCTAGGCGGAGCAAAATACTTTGTCTCATTTATTGATGACTACTCCAGGAGATGTTGGGTGTACCCTATTAAGAATAAGTCAGACGTGTTTTCAACTTTCAAAAACTTCAAGGCGCGGGTGGAACTTGATTCTGGAAATAAGATCAAGTATTTCAGAATAGATAATGGAGGAGAATACACAAGTGAAGAATTTGATGACTTTTGCAGGAAAGAAGGCATCAAAAGACAGTTCACAGTGGCGAACACTCCTCAACAAAATGGAGTGGCAGAGCGGATGAACATAACCTTGTTAGAAAGAACAAGAGCAATGTTGAGGGATGCAAGCCTAGAAAAATCATTATGGGCAGAAGCAGTCAATACCGCCT